TGAACAGTTCCCTATGCTGAGCTCTATAGGAGTCAAAGATGAGAAAGGCATGGTCCCTTTGACGTGGATTAAAAGGGCAGAGTCAAAATAGAAACATATTTAGGTTTAGCATTCTAAACATATTTTTATGTTACCCAAAGCACAATCCTTTTCCACAATGTCACATCAAGCTTTTTATTTTCTCTCTCTGCATCTTCCCGCTCCCTGGAGCCTAAAGCTTCTAAGATCAAGGCACTAGAAAATGTTTTTTTTTTTTTTTTTTTTTCCTATTTTGACTCAAAGCAGGAAGGAGGTAAGTACTTATAGAAACATAAAATATAAAATAATTGGTTGAAAAGAGTTTAACCTTCACATGTAAGTATCCATCTTTTTGGGCTATTTTTATTTTATTTTATTTTTTCCCTACGGTGGCCATTCCACAAGGGCTTCTTTGTCCCACAGCCTTCTCCTTAGGGTCGATTGAGTCCCCTTTTCTATAACCATCAACACCACCAAGCCGAGCAGGAACAAACTAATGACTTACATTGAACTCGAGCTAACAGAATGCTGGGACTTTGGCAGGAAGAGAAGAGTTAGGGACAAGGGTCTGCAGGGGTGGAGGAGAGCATGTGAGGAACGGGATTTGGGAGCGACACTTTCTGCTGTGGGAGGGAGAACGCATGAGTAGGGCTTTTGCAAAGGCTGGGGATAAAGCTGGGGATCGGTGGAGGGTCCATGAGATAAGTTAATTTTACAAAGAATGCCACTCTGAATGCTGCACGACACTTCGGACTCTGTATGGATTGAGTTATAGCTCCTGGACCTCAAGGGAAGTGTTCACGGTATACTTTTCAGTGCTCCATGTCTATCTGCTCAGTTTGCATATTTGTTCATTATTTTCTCATTTTAATCAACTTCAGATTCTTGGATTCCTCTAGTGTGGAAGATAGGAGAAAAGGAGAGCTACTTGTGGACTAAACCAGCTAGTTGCCAAATAATATTTATTTACTCGTGTCCTTACTAATTTTCTTCTAAAGATATGTGCCCCGGCTGATGCAAGCATGTGCTGTCCACAGTGACGTGTTATAATGTGACCTTAAAGCCTAGCACAGAATTGCATCAGATACCAGATCAAAGTATTTTGTCAGTGTTTGCCTTCTAGAAAAAGGGGCAGATATTCTTTTGCAATTTCTCCTTCCTCTTCTTCAAGAGAAATTGTGAGGAAGAAGAGAAATCTGACTGACCATCAATCAAGGGAAGGACTGATTATATATCATCCACTCATTCTTTTATTCAATCAATGTTTATTGAGCATTTATTGTGTACCTGGTACTGCCTAGGCATCAGGGCTACAGCTATGAAGGTAAGAGATACAACCTGTCCTCTCTGGCATCTTACTAGCCTGTATATGAAATGAAATGAAAAGCCTGAGCCAGGCTGTGTTAGGATTGCTCACTGGCAATTTTCTTTTAACCACCATGAAATGGATATTATAGGATACTTAAGTCGTAGCATAGATAACCCACTGACCAACAGAGATTTGTGTTTTCTTTTGCAATATAGAATATAATCGGCGCTGTGGAGCATACCCATTAGTGAGTCTGTGTGTGTGTGTGTGTGTGTGTGTGTGTGTGTGTGTGAGAGAGAGAGAGAGAGAGAGAGAGAGGGGGTGTGTGTGTGTGTGTGTGTGTGTGTGTGTGTGTATGTGTTAGTTAGTTAGTTAGTTAGATTTTGGTTGGGGTAAGAGGCTTGAAGATGAGGAGAAAGAAAGTTTGGGACTAGTTCTGGCCATGGAGTGAAAGCAGAGATGATACATGCTGAATATGGCAGCATAGTGAAATAAAAGGAACCTGGATCTATGAATTTCTTGGAGTACCTCCAATCAGGAATATCCTCACTGAGAATTTCATGAGCAAGAAATAAACTTTTATGATGTTAAGTCACTAAAATTTGGAGGTTGATACAGCAATTAGCCTAACCTAACACCGGTCAGCTTTGTTCTTTCATTATTTCTTACTGAATGTGCAGTGCTTGCCAATAATATTGAACACTTCCTCCAGAAAGCTGGTGAAGGTGAGATTCCTCCACTGACTGAATGATTATGGCTCCTGAGTTGACCTTGCTCCATGTGATGGGTCTGGAAAACCAAGTTGCTTTCCATGCCCCTGGCTAAGTCTTTACTACTGTGCCCAAGGTGTAACTATTATTATATTACAGTGGAAATTATGAGCCCAGGATGGTAGCTAATCACCACTGTCTTGCTTCCTTGAAACACTGTGATGGTCCGTCCATCAACAAAAGCAAATAAGATTTGATAACTGAGGGCTTAAAGCTTCTCTTTTGTTTTGACATAGCCTGCCTTCTGGAAGAGACACACAAAACTGATATCTTTGGTTAAGGCAGTAGATAGTGTGTTAATACCATAAAAAGGAAGCATTTTTTACAAGGCACTATTGTGAATTCTCTAGTCATAGAATTTTTCAGGAAGACTTTTATAAAACACATATATTAACTCCTCATAAAACAGAGTCTAGGAGATCATCTTGAACCCTTTCTCTTAGGCCTCATCTTGACCATCAAAGGGCTTTCTCTTCAGTGACAGTAAGAAAGAGGATTTGTACCACTACACACTCACATTACTCTATTCAATTAAGTGCTGTGTCCTAGTAACAGTCTAGTTGTGTCTAGCTTGAAATAACACACATTTATTCTTAGGAGGTAGAGTGGGATGTGTTTGTGTGTGTGTGTGTGTGTGTGTGTGTGTGTGTGATGGAGGTAGGAGGTCGAGAGGCCTGAGGTATGAACAATATACAACCTCAGAATATTATTATCATGAAATGAGGTGATTCCACTTGCAATTTTAGAAAGATTGCTTTGATTTCAGGATAAAGATGGATTGGTAGATTTGGGACATTAGAAGAGGTGAGTCTGGCAGCTGGAAAACCCATTAACAATGTATTCCACTAATCTAGGCCAAGGGGTATCATAATAATCATAACAGAAATGAAGATGGACATTTTAGAATTGTTTTATAGATAAAATATCTAGGACTAAGTAGAATGTTTTGTTTTAAAATGTAGGTTTTATTATTCAGGTATGGTGAGACCAACAGTTCAGGAGAGGATCGTCACTGGAAAGATAGTTTGTTACTCACAGTTTCCATGCCATACTGTGCAGGGCCACGTGGGGAAGCACCACGGTTGACCAGAAGGCAGAATGAATGAGGGCAAAGCATGAGCAGGATCCTGTATTGTGGCTCCTGTGGGAAAGGCAAGGAAAGGCAGTGCAAATAGGCTTAAGTTTGCCTAGTTTGAATCATTTTAGCAGGCTCTGGCACATGGTAGTTTTCTCCAGTTGTCTGGTACCTGGCCCTGTGATGATAAGGGTGAAAGAATTTTGCCTCCTAGAGTGAAAAAGCCAGAGAGAGGAGGTGGTTCAGCAACAGGCTTTGGATTGGTTAGTTTGCATATGAAAGGCACACTGAAGGGCAAATTATTTGCTGTCTTTAAAAACTGGCTAGCCCTGAGAGGGGCCATCTATTTTCAGTGAGGCTCCCAAGCTAAAGCATCAAGAATATAGAAAATAAGAAAGTAGAGTTAATATGCATTTGATGAGAGAAATGAGGAAGCCAAGGAGATTTCCATCTTGGGTGACTATGCGGAAGTGAAATGCGATTACCTTTCCACGGAGCTAAACTTTATTGAGCACCTATTCTGTGCCAGGCATTTAAGACTTTGATATAGTCTCAATCCTCAAAGCAAAATTTTGACAGGGGGACTATTTTTAGCTTAATTTTAGAGCTGTGTTAAAGTAGTCTGCGAGAATTTGTGCTCAGCCCCCTATGACACACTCCTTTGCAACTTCACTTTATATTTACTGGATCTGAGGAATACACAGATGAACCATGCACTAGACTAGGAATTTTATATAGATTAATTTAATTCAATCATGCAAGACAAATGAGATTATTTCCATTTTAAAGACCAGAAAGTTAGGGCTTAGTGGCTTATATCATTTGCCTACTGTCACAAGGCCTTAATTCTATGAATGCCATAAATATCAGCTTCTGTTGTGATTAAAACTATTATTCCAGTTTTCAGACCAGAAATTAAGGCTTCTTAGTTTAAGTGACTTGACCAGTGCCACAAGGCCGTAAATCATCCAGCCTGGATTTGAATTTCAGTGTATTTGATTCTTCATCCCAATCTTTTCCCACCATCCCTATGCTTTTCAAACTGTGTTTCACTGGAGCTTTATTTTTAATCAGATTCATAATATGAGTTTTTCCCCAAGATTTCACAAGGTTGCCTGGAGCTATGGGTTGAAATGTGTAGCCCACTCCCAATTCATATGTTGAGGACCTAACCCTGACTCCTCAGAATGCGGCTGTGTTTTAAGATAAGGTCTTTCAAAAGGTAATTAAGGTAAAATGAGGTCATCTGAGTGGGCCTTAATCCAATATGACTGATGTCCTTATAAAGAAGAGGAATTTAGGATACAGACACACACAGAGGAAAGACCCTGTGAAGACACAGAGAGAGGGTGGGCCTCGAAAAGCCAAGGAGAGAGCCGGAAAAGAAATCAGTCCTGCTGGCATCTTGATCTCAGACTCCCAGCCTCCAGAACTTTGCGAAAAAAAATTAAATTCTATTGTTTAAGTCACTCAGTTTGTGGTATTTTGTTTGGCAATCGTAGGAGACTAATGTAGACAGTAAGTTTCCACTACGAAAACAACACTGGAGAGCCACTGCCCTAGTCAGTTAAACAGACTGCCTGGCCAATCTGATTGTTTTTTTAAGTTCACTATCGCTGAGGTCAGATGACTTACTGGGATAAAAGTCAGCTTCCTCTTGCAGTTACTCCGGACACTGGTCTGCAGACATTTTCTTCTTCTTCTTCTAACTTCCCCTCCTTAGAAAGGGGACATAAATATTAGAGAAACAAAAGTCCAGAATGCTAAGCTTGCCACTCTCACTTCCTTTCTTGCCCCATAAGCTAGCGCTGCTTTGAATACAGTAATTGCTGTGGGGCACCGAGCAAGGGAAAGAAGACAGTGCCTTGGAGGCTGCCCAGGCAGGTGGTTACGGTTACACATGCTTTCACAGGGTCATTTTTGGCCACAGAAAATGCCAGGATGATGCCTCCCACCCGCCTGGCTGGGATTCTGATCCCAGCCATGGCCTTTCTTTCCTGCCTGAGACCTGAGAGCTGGGACCCTTGCGTGCAGGTATGTGTTCAAAATCAGTTTATCTCCTGTGTGCTTTATCTTGTTTCTGAAAAACTGCCCTCTGCCCAGAACTTCCCACTGTGTGGTGCCCTGGTTAGTTTCATTTGCAAAAAGGAGTCAAATTATCTTAAAGAGATGAGGACCAACTAATTCATGATTACCAGGCACTCACAGGCAGCCCATGGGATCCTGTCCCATTTTAAAATCCCTGTTCTCAGGCTTCTGGGCTGTGTGACCTTGAAGAAGTTATTCAACCTCTCTGAGACTGGTTCTCACATCTATAAAAGAATTATAATAATACCTACTTCAACAGAGAGTTGTAAGAAGGCTGCTTCCTATCATTCCTTTCTGCTGGTTGTCTGTACATTCAGCTTCAAGCAGTCACCTGGCCCCTTTCAATTTCAGGAAGATTTTTTTTTTCTTGTCTCTTAAAAGAACAAACTTTCCAAGTGTATTTCAGACTTCTGAATCTAGCCAAAGGATGAAAAGAAAAGAGATTGGAAAAAAAAAAGGAGAGAGAAATTAAGAAAGAGACAGAGAGCGGGAAATAAAGAAGGGAGGAAAAAAAGAGAAAAAGACATAAAATGTCAGTTAATGCAATGGTTTCTTTCTTTGTGAAACACCTACCAGCTGGTTCAATCTCATTC